TTCATACTGCCCAGTTCCCTTATTTAGGCATTTTTACATTTGTATTTAGTAGTTTAGTAGTTAGTTTAGTATTATATTATATATATATATATATATATATATATAGACATATATATATTTTTTTCATTCAGTGATTTTTATACTTTTATTTAGTAATACTTACTTACTTTTACTTGTTTATTTATTGCCATATCGATATACAATCTAAATACTTGGCCAAATTTTGCAGCCCTACAAACCTGGATTTTTTTAAATCAAATTTTAAAATAATTAAATTCATTAAAAATTACATTCCTACACCACTAGTCAAATTTATGAATTTTTTTAACATTAAAGAAAAAACGTTTTGGAAAATGGGGGGATTTTTTAATTTGAGGGTGGAGTTGGGGTATTTTTTAGACATATTTTTAAACTACAATAATCTAATCTAAAAGTGTTTTTTCACGCAGTGTATTTGTGTTTTACAATTTATAATGTTGTTGATTCATATTACTTAAAAAGAACTTTGATTTTAAATTCTGAATTTATTTGAACTAAAACAAACAAGTAAACAGTCAGTAATAAAATAAGAACAAATAAATGACAAGCAATGGCACAAATAAATACAATAACAACATACAACTGAAATGAACTGTGCTTTATGTTTTTTAGGTAGGTATAACAGTAATATTCAGGTACAGAAATACCACAGAAACTGAATAATCTATTCAACTTTAAAATAGCACTGGTTAGTCTTCAGTGTATAAATAAACATTAATGACAGACAGCAGCAGGTTTATTTAGGTTGCTGTCTCTTTAAGACCTCATGCATGGATCTAAAATATACTGTTACACATAATTTTTGTTTCTCAGCTGTTTACATTCACTTAATAGCCTATATACTGATCATGGTTAGTATAAATCGACTGTGTTTACGTGAATACTCATCATTTTGATATAATTTTGTATGTATTTGGCTGTTTATGTGCTATAAGGCTCAACTCATAACTTAAATCTGTAGTCACTGTCACACGCTGTTTCAGATGCGGCTCTGAATTGAATTGGTACTGAATTGAGTTCTCTTTGGCGTCATCTTGCACAGACCAAAAAGCATGTGCAAATGATACATTCCATCATCTGTCCTGAGCGTCTTTCACAATCAAATATTTACAAGCGTGGAAACTACGGGAATTAGTAGAATTATGCGCAACACCCGCAATCCCGAGCTGAAATTCAAGCCCTGCTGCCTACTGTTTATTTAGGGATGTGAAACATTGTTGTCTTTTTTTTTTATCTCACAATTTTGTATCTCGCAATTCTGACCTTTTTTTCAGAAATGCAAGAAGCAAAGTCCAAATAGTAAGATAAAAAGTTGCAATGACCTTTTTTATTTTTGTTATTCAAACTGTGTGGGATGAATTAACAGCACCTTATCAAACACCACAAATTAATAACAGACTGATCCACCATGCATTACGTATCTAATTTGTGTGGCGTTGTGACTGAATTCACTCTGAATATCTGTGTGCATTGTGCTTTGGCTGAGTGTGAGCAAAAGCTTCTGGAAACACTGTCTGTCTGTCATCACAGGGCTACAGTAACCATACACAGCGGTCTGTGTGTGTGTCTGTGTGTGTGTGTGTGTGTGTGTGCCGTGCGTGCGTTCGTGTGTGTTAACGTTCAGGACAGATTGGTTTACACACATAATAGAGTCACCTGCCTCCTAACAGGTAATGACAGAAAGCCCCGGAGCTGTAAGTACACAGAAACACACGGCAGGTCTGAAGCAGGGCTCATACCTCGACGACTGCAGGTCTACACTAGGCAGGCGGCAGAGTCTGGGTCGAGAGCGCTGGCTGGTTTTGAGAACGCCGTCGCTGGTCTCCTCAGGCTGGTCCAGAGTGGACTCATACAGCACAGTGGATTCTGTGTACACACTACAGAAAACACACAGACAAGAACCAGATTCAGGATTCACTTACAATAAATAACATGTCATTAGCACGTTTTGTTGAATATGGCAGCTTTCAGATGTCATGTAAACAATATGGTATAGGAATATAGCAATCAATTAGTACCACAGTATTACAAGAAATGATATGGAAATATTATGATTTTACTAAGGAACCGTGGTTTTATTTTAAGTGTAAACAGATTTGATCACAGCAATAAATTACATTTTACAATATATTCAAATAGAAAACAGTTATTTTATATTGTAATAATCTTTCACAATTTTTACTGTAATTTTTGTCAAATAAATGCAGCCTTGGAAAATAATAAGAGACTTCTTTCAAAAACAAGAAGCAACAGTGTAAATATGGTAATCAGTGCCATAGTAGACATCAACTTAAATCATGCTGTTATGTTTTATACCACCAAGTTTGCCCATATTTAGACGTTTAGCCAATTTATTTTTTATTTTTTTAATTAGCAGAGGAATCTGGCGTCAGTAAGACAGAAGGGTGTTGTTGAAATCTGGCACACTGAACCCTTGGCAAACACCTTATCGCAGTGTGCACCTTACACTGGGTGTAGCGAGAGTCAAAATAAGTCAAAGTACGTCATCCTGCAAAATAACAGGCTGCTACACTGAACTAAGCTGCTCCTTTGAAGAGAAAAGTGTCTGATTTATAGTTCACAGTCACTAAACAAGCTGATATTCAAAGGAAAGTGCTGCTCAGGTCATACTTTTATACACCAGGTTTTTTTACTAGTAGACAACTAGTCCTGACTTGGTCTTGTGCAGACCCTCACTGTTTTAAAAATCCTCTTCAAGCTACTTTGAGCGCTTATATAGACTCCCGAATTAGGGCTGGGTATCAAGGATCAGCTCCATTTTAGAACTGGTTACGAAATTCCAAGAACTGCAGATTCGATAAGACATGCACATTTCAATTCCGCTTATCAGGCACATTTTAAAGTGCAAGAAGATGCAAAAGAGAACTCAATTCAGCACTCATACAGTTTTCACATCCACAGCATGAACACAGAAAGCTGCCTCTCGTATATTGCACGAATACTTGAGTTGAGTTCTCTTTCACGTGAACAGATAAATACACACAAAATTATGTCAAAATATCCTCATAAACTCAGTCGGTCTTGAGTGAAAGTAAACAGTTGAGGAAAAACAAACACGTGTGTCAGTATATTGGACCGATGCATTAGGTCTTAAAGTGACAGCAGTCTAATATTCCTGCTGTTGTCTGTGCCATTAATGTTAATCAAAGAACAAAGGAAAAATAAAATCACTCACTGATCTGTTGTCACGTTAATAAGGATTAATCTATATTTTATTTATAAAAAGAAAACTATATAGTGTCATTTTACATTTGATTACAATTAATTTCAATTTCTGTACCTGAATTTATTTATGCTATTTTTTATTACTGACTGTTCACTTGTCTTTAATAAAGTTTGGCATCTATATTTGGTTTTCTAGTTGTGGTATATTTGGTATAAACCATATGAAAAAATCTCTTTGTGTAAGTGTTGTTTAGGCTGCTGATTTTTGTTCATGGCATTCATCTGCAATAGAATGCTTTGCAAAAAAGACAAAGATATATATGTTTCATATCTAAAAATCTGACTTATTTTTTTGCACTTTATTGGAAACGAAAATGGGAATCATTAAGGATCTGAATAAATAAGATTCAAACAATACCCAACCATACAACTGAGCCTTTACTAAACACAACCTCTGTCATACTTCAGCTCCCAATTTCTGCAGACAGCTTTAATGGAAGACCTTTCTCCGGGTTAAGAAAACAAAAGAGTGCTTTTCTTGGAGGTAAATCAACCCTGAGATAAGTGGGACTTTCTGGATTAGTCATTGAGTAGACATTGAGAGTGTCTGGAGGCATGAAAAAATATTATTTAAACTTTATAAAGCTGAAAGTAACAATTCAATTACATGTGCATAAATTAGATTTTCTTTCCATCCATTTTCCATGTCTCAAATAGGGTTGGGTATCGAAAACCGGTTCCATTTTAGAACCGGTTCCATATTTCCAATAACCGGGTATTCAATAAGATGCATGCATTTCGATTCTGCTTAACAATTCCTACGTTCGCATTTTAATGTGATTTATAACAATTTAAGTGCAGGAACGGAAAGAACTTGCGCCTTGTTTGCATGCATTTCACTGCAGAAAAGGTTGTTCCGGGCTGGAACTGACTTCTTTCGTATTTATCGACCAGTATGCAAGAAACTACGTCAGTATATCATCATAAACACAGCCGTTTTTGTCTTAAGTGAGCGTAAACAGATGAGAAAGATGAGAGCACATGTACAGTGTTTTTAGATCTGCGTGCGTTCGGTGTTAAAGAGACAGCAGCCTAATAAACGTGCTGCCTGTCATTAATGTTAATCAAAGAACAAAAGAAAATCATTCACTGATCTTGACTGAATATATTTCTGTCATAACAACTCTCGGAGGGACTGGCATGGTAATGTACATGACAATGATAATGCATTTGGTCTTGGTGGAATAGATCTGCTATGCTGCTGCTGCTGGCAATACATCCACAACATGCTGCTGTGAGCATGTAAGAAATACTGCTGCTGCAAATATAACACATGAAATAACCCCCATATAGCATACATGAATCACCTCGTAGAGATCTATACAGGTGGAGCTGGGGAAGGTGGAGGGTTTCTGAAGCACACTGCAAACTGCTACAGCAAGCACTAGTCATGTATTTGAATGTTGAGGAGCGAGCTCATTGGCTACTGATACAGGAGAGAACCAATCAGCTGTGCCATGTGATGATGTCATTAGGTCAGATTGAGTTAGATCGTACTGCGCCATCTAGAGTTTCATGCCAGAACTCTGTATTTAATAACTTTAATTAATCTATATTTTATTTATGAAAAGAAAACTATGCAGTGTCTTTAAACTTTTAATTACAGTTTCTGTACCTGAAATTAGGTTCAGTTGTAATTATTTATGCTGTTGCTAATTGATTTGTTTGTTCCTATTTTATTACTGACTGTTTACTTGTCTTTAACGCTTTAATATTTGCAATTTATATTAATCTAGTTGTTTTTGCTGTGGTATTTTTATTAAAAGCATAGGCAAAAGTTCCAAAAGTGTTCTGTAGGCTGCTGATTTTTGCTCATGTTATTCAGCTGCAACAGAATGCTTTGTAAAAAGACACAGAACCCTAGTCTCAAACAGATCTAGAACGCATTGAATGGAGTTTCTTCACCTGGACAGGTTTTCTCTAGAGAGATCGGACTCGTAAGCCTGGCTCCGCAGAGGGCTGAAGTCCGAGTACTTGTCCTCAGCGGACGCTGGCCTGCACATCTGCCTCTGGTAGTACGTGTGGATGCTGTCCCGTGATGGAATATTCCCCTGCAGGGCAGCAGACGAGGGGTTAAACCTCAAGGTTTACAGTGCTGTCCGTTCCAAGCATGATGCTCATGATTCATGCGAAGTGTAATTATAGCATTGGTGCTAATACTGATTCTGCATTCGATTCCATGAAGTCCATTGAGATTCGATGACACTTGTTATTTTAGTGTTATTTATATAGTATTATTATTACATGGCTCTCTGAAATGCTTGATTCTGACAGTATTTACTGTAAAAAGGAATCAGGGGACTTAAAATTATTTTGCAATGACAACCAGCGGGAAGTACATTATCCTTTACTTTTAGTACTTATTAATATTTTTAATTCAGTTTTATTTAAATCTGTTTATTTGCTTTTGTCATTTGTATTATATATATGTTGAGGAGCGAGCTCATTGGCTACTGATACAGGAGAGAACCAATCAGCTGTGCCATGTGATGATGTCATTAGGTCAGATTGAGTTAGATCGTACTGCGCCATCTAGAGTTTCATGCCAGAACTCTGTATTTAATAACTTTAATTAATCTATATTTTATTTATGAAAAGAAAACTATGCAGTGTCTTTAAACTTTTAATTACAGTTTCTGTACCTGAAATTAGGTTCAGTTGTAATTATTTATGCTGTTGCTAATTGATTTGTTTGTTCCTATTTTATTACTGACTGTTTACTTGTCTTTAACGCTTTAATATTTGCAATTTATATTAATCTAGTTGTTTTTGCTGTGGTATTTTTATTAAAAGCATAGGCAAAAGTTCCAAAAGTGTTCTGTAGGCTGCTGATTTTTGCTCATGTTATTCAGCTGCAACAGAATGCTTTGTAAAAAGACACAGAACCCTAGTCTCAAACAGATCTAGAACGCATTGAATGGAGTTTCTTCACCTGGACAGGTTTTCTCTAGAGAGATCGGACTCGTAAGCCTGGCTCCGCAGAGGGCTGAAGTCCGAGTACTCGTCCTCAGCGGACGCTGGCCTGCACATCTGCCTCTGGTAGTACGTGTGGATGCTGTCCCGTGATGGAATATTCCCCTGCAGGGCAGCAGACGAGGGGTTAAACCTCAAGGTTTACAGTGCTGTCCGTTCCAAGCATGATGCTCATGATTCATGCGAAGTGTAATTATAGCATTGGTGCTAATACTGATTCTGCATTCGATTCCATGAAGTCCATTGAGATTCGATGACACTTGTTATTTTAGTGTTATTTATATAGTATTATTATTACATGGCTCTCTGAAATGCTTGATTCTGACAGTATTTACTGTAAAAAGGAATCAGGGGACTTAAAATTATTTTGCAATGACAACCAGCGGGAAGTACATTATCCTTTACTTTTAGTACTTATTAATATTTTTAATTCAGTTTTATTTAAAACTGTTTATTTGCTTTTGTCATTTGTATTATATATATTTTTTTTAAATATTTCTATTTACCTTTACATTTATTTCGGTTTTAGTCATTTGACTTATTACTCTAATTTATAACAGTAAGTTGCTAGTGCAACATATCTCACTTTATTAAGATACGTATTCTTTAGTAAGTTTTTCATCTAATATTTTACTTATTTTATTTTATTCTATTTCAGCTTCAACTGAATTACCAAAAATCATTTGTTTCCCAAGTATGGATATATCTGAGAAGCTCATTTCAATTACATATTTTAAAGCTTGAAATGTATTGTGAAAAAGGTATATATTCATTGTAAAAATGATAGATTATATTCATTCATTTTATATAATTTTATATATAGATTTATTCATATTTTACATTTTGCACGCCATTTCTAGACACTGGCATGTTAACAATATCGGCATTGTTAAATTATTACATCATTAAATAATACAATAAAGTTTCTTAATTTTAAGATGTTGCTAAAAGCTACAAAACAGTTAAAATAAAATAGTTAAAATAAGTTAAAATACTAACAAAAAATACTTATAACATAAATAGGAAAAAAAACAAAAACAAAGATCATGTGTCACATGCAGCCAATAACACATGATAAAATACAAATGCAGATGCAGGCCAATCAGCAGCACTCTGGAGTGATTTCTCGTGCCAGCACTACCTTCTTGACCTCATGAGTGAGCATGCAGCGCTCAATGCGCAGGACGGTGGAGATATCGATGTGCTCCTGGCAGATGGAGTTGAGCCAGGCAGTGAAACCATCCAGCAGGGCCAGGAAAAGCACCCAGGAGAACTTCACGATGTTAAACACTCGCTTCAGGGTGTTATCTGGAGTGGAGAGATACAGTTGAGGTCAAAAGTTTACATTACATTTTACATTTCAGAATCAGCAAAATGTTAATTATTTTACCAAAATAAGAGAGATCATACAAAATGCATGTTATTGTTTATTTAGTACTGACCTGAATAAGATATTTCTCATAAAAGAGGTTTACATATGTGACCCTGGAGCACAAAACCAGTCATAAGCATACATTTTTGGAAATTGAGATTTATACATCATCTGAAGCTGAATAAATAAGCTTTCCATTGATGTATGGTTTGTTAGGATAGGAATATACCAGTGCTGCTTATGACTGCTTTTGTGCTCCAGGGTCACATATAGTCCACAATAGAAAATAATAGTTGATTTTATAAAAACGATTCCGTTCAAAAGTTTACATCCCCTTGATTCTTAATACTGTGTAGTTAGCTGAATGATCCACAGCTGTGTTTTGTGTTTAGTGATAGTTGTTCATGAGTCCCTTGTTTGTCCTGAACAGTTAAACTGCCTGCTGTTCTTCAGAAA